AGAATGCAAAGTTTGTTCTCTATAAGACTTAAAACCGCAGAATGCATACAGGGTTGATGAAAACAGCTTTTCCAATTCAACAGATCGTACTTACTCAGTATCATGCTCACTTTGGTTTATGTTAACGAAGTCCAAATGCATAAAATTGAAGAACATGTGAGTAAATGTACAACTGAATTTGGTGGAGTACCAGATAACATAATACAATAGCCAAAAAAAAAAGGCAAGAGGTGTTAAAAACTGAATTTTAAATTCTGCACAGCTTGCAGTTCTTCATTAGTGCACACTTTGCAGAGAATTTCAATTTCATATTTTAGCCTGGTGACACAGGGTTCACTGCTGACCTACACTGCAATGATCTGCAGCAGCTAAGGAAGGACATAGATGTTCCCTTCCTCTACAGAAGTAACAACATAGAGTGTCTACAAAGTATGTACAGACATCTGACAATTATACTAGTAAACTCACTCATCCCAAAATGGATGAGATCAGAAGTGCAGGTGTTTGTTAGACAGAGCCCCGAGTGAAACTTTCTCAGCCAGAAAGGCACGGGACACTATAGAAGCTCTACAGTTACAAGGGTCAATAAATGTTTAACCATATGCATAATTTAAAGTGGATTAATCACATACTTGAAGTTAATTCTACATGGTAAAATTTTTGAAGGTATCAAAGAAATTCAGGAACAAAGAAGTCAGTAGGACTTCGAAACATTTGGAAATTTTACCTGCTTTGAGGGATCATTCCCTTATTTGGAATGTTGTCTTACAAATAGAAATTTTGAAAAGGAAAGAAAAAATATCAGAAGTATTCTTTTAAATAAAACTGAATCTGCAGTGAATAAAAGTAAACAAACAGAAGAAAGTTTGATCGAAAATCTAGTTATGGCAGAAATGACTCAATGCACATACATGAGACAGTCATTTTCTCCTCTCTAGCTCAATTTTAAATACTTTTAGAATCATCAGAGACACACAATTGAAATCACAAAGCAAAAGACGCAACAAATAAAACAGGATTTTAAGCGTCAGCAGAACCTTGGCCACAACCTTGATGTGTATCAGCCAGCTCTCAAGAGAAGGCCTTAATTGGGATTACAGACCGTTTTGACAAGTAATCAAGTATGCTGCTGGCCTGTTGCTTGCCAAAGTAGTCCATAATCCCTAATAATGATCTCTAGAGGTTCTTCATGCCTCAGTAATTTGGTTCTGGTACAGCAAGTTACTTATTACTATACAGATTTTCTTAAAAATTTGTCTTGCTTTTAAAGGCAATTATGGTGATGGGTAAGCATTTAATTTTAAAGATAATTTATGCCTATGTGAAATAATAATAGTAATAATGATAATAATTCATTTGAATGAATGAAAATCATGATTTAAAATATTTTAAACAGAATAAAGACTTTCAATAATGTCAAAAACAGATTTTGGATTTGAATTTACGGTAAACAGTATACACCTATATTTAGCTAGCTAGACAGATAGATGAAAATTGTTAACATTTTAAGTTAATGGGTACCAATTCTATTTAAGAGATGATTAATTTCTGCTGATCCTCTCTCTGTTTGTATGAGTTACTTCCTTTGGCTTTTACTATAGAAAAGAAAGAATGTGCAAGTGAAAAGCATCCTTTGTACTTAAGCACTTCTCATGTCAGTGCCAACACCATATTTACAGTGATGAATTTCTTGACCCTAAAGTAATTTGAATACATTGATTTAACACAAAGTAAAATACTCAGGCACACCCAACTAAAAGAGTCTAGAGTACTAACAGTTCTGTCCAGTTTTTCATGCATTGACCCCATCATGAGACAACCTTTGTTGTTCAATATATTTTCCCATTTCCCCTTCTTACCCCAAAACCATGGTCAGAGTTCTACTAATTACCTATTCAGCTCACTGTCATCACCTTATGGAATTATTTATACCAATCTCAAATGAAAAAAAGTTAATGTTTAATATAATGACCTCTCACTGATCTTGAGTTGAGATAACCTAGATAAATAGAACCCTGTATTATGAAAAAGCAAACATTAATCAGGCTACAGAGCATGTTTAGTATGCTCCCTTTTGAAAAGATTTGCATTTAGATACAAGTAAAGAACAGGGAGAGCTTCAAACCAGAAGTTTGGCAGAGTGGGGCCAAACTTGAGTAAGCATTATCATCACTTTCTCCATACACGCTCCATAGCATTTTGTTGTTGCTGGTGTGTCTGGCAGTCAGGGGAAAGTCAGTCCCTCCTTAATCAACAATCCAGATAATCCACTCACAGATATTCAATAATTTATAGCATTAAATTATATTTTGCATTCTGAAATGACTGCATTATTTGCTGGGCAAGGAGGGAATCACATTAAAATTCACCACTGTAATTTTGAGCATACAAAATAAAACCATTGATACATTGACACATTAAATTCAAAATTATGTAACAGAACAAAACAAATTTTCAGGGGCAAAAGGATAATGATTATTTATAGAAATATGATCAATTTTAATTTACTTAAACTGAGCAGCATCCTAAAGATGGTATTTAAAATTGAATATAGTGTTTGTACCATGTAATTTATTCTGAGATTGAGAATAGCTCTTAAGGGATACATCTGTCTTATAACAACAAAAAGTTATGGAAGTCCCTTTCCAAAGGGATGAAAGGGGCATAAACCAAAATTGTTTGCTATGATCACGTCTATCAGGAAGAAACCAAAACTAAATTCCATCTGTCAACAGTAATAATTTCAAAACCAGACACTGCTGTATACTCAGCTGCCAGGATTAAAAAACCCAGATAGATATATGTTCTATCATAGCAGAAGTAAGTTTTTCATTTCAATGAAAAGCGGTAGGTTTTTTTCCTCAAGTATGCAGGAAATGTTCATAAAATCCAACCACAATTATCAAACATGAAGATTGTGGGCTACTGCATGGCTATTGCAAATTTAATGAAAAAGTCATAAAAGAACTTAGAGATGTGTTGTTATATTGGATTCCTATCAAGGCAAGCATTAGTATAGTATACATTAGTGTTGCAGTTTGGATAGGCTGTTTAGTATATTTACAACCAGGATACAAACAAACAAACAAGAACTGGTAAAATTTCTGTTTTCTTTTTGCACTTGGACTATTTCTTATAATGGCCCCAATGTCACTTTTCTTTCCACTGGAAGGGTGACTTTAGACCAGTAGCATTATGTATCTCAAATAAATTCAATACTTCTGGGGGACATGTTGAGCAGCAAGTTTAATGGGCTGTGTTTTCCACTGCACCAGTACAACACGTTGCCCTTTGTCTAACTGGTTGTCACCAATATTCTACAGCTTGGAAGCAAATATTTTAAATCTTCTTTTGATCTATTTTTCCAGCTTGCTGCATCCATACCAACTGTTATAGGCTGAAGCAGAGAGCAAACCTTTATAATGAAACCACATTGACTCCATTTGTAAAGAAGTATGACAAGAAGATGCATCTTCACTGATGGTAACATCCCGTGGTATAAGATCACAGGCAGTACTGTAAGATATTATGTGTAGCTCTTGCCACTTCTTTTAAAAATGTTGTGCTCAGACATGCTTCTACTAACAGCTGCTAAAATACTAGGCCACAAAAACTGGGAAAGGTGTGAAAGAGGAAAAGGCGGCTATGCTTATTTGAAAATAAATATGAAAAAGGAGTACAACACAGTAGAAAGTAGTAGGAGCAAATGTAAATCTGCTTAGCATACTACTTACAAGCCTGTCACAGGACTATAGAAATGATACTGACAGTCCTAAGTAGCATAATAAAATAACAATACAGGAAAATACATGAAGAAAATACTGGCATAAGAAAGTCCCTTCCTATCTTTGATACCTAAACATTAATGAAAATAATTTTCAGTGACTTGCAAAGCTTCCAATAGATAATGATAAAAGCATACAGAAACCCACAGAATACTAGGAAAGGTAGATTCCACTCTTTTCATGTATCATTTGCAATCCAAATAATTACAAATACTCAGGATGTCAAACTAAGGAAGGTGAGAAAAGAATTGGAAAGATAAGATGGGGAGAGAAGAAAAGAGGTCTGAAATATTGTAGAAAGGAGAGATTATTTTAGTTCTGTATTAAATTAGATAACATATTTGTAAAATACACATAAATTAAAGCCATGATTCAACCACGAGATGATAGAAATATGAATGAAATATTTAAGCTCTACTGTCATAGTTACTGTCATCAAAATCCCTTGACAGAATTAAAATCTTCTATAGAGAGAACTATGTTATTTCTTACATTGCATTTTGTTATATAGCACTACTAGGCATATGTTGCAACTCAGAAACCAATGTATGGAAGGAATTTCAAATGTAGATTTATTTAAAGACCATCCTTGTGGGCAAAAGTGATGAGCATGTTCTGCCTAATGCAGAATTCCCTGGTGAATTAAGGAAAAGCATATAAAAAAGAACTATAGGATGAATAATTATAAAAAGATTACAATGAAACTATTTAACTCCACTGGGAATATTAATCTGCAAGCCATCTGAAAGCTTTTTTTCATGTCCCTGTTCAAGGAATTTGTATTTGAAATTGCCTGACATTTAGACGAGCAGTTGTATGCAAAAGGAAGTAAGCTTGCGATTAAGTCTGAACTGATACCAATGAGAAATAGTGCCAGCAGAGGTAGCTTAAGATGGCAGTTACCTGGCATCACTAAACAAAAGATAAAGATCATATTTTCAGAGCTCCGTTTTCCTTTTTGAGGACAGCATTTTGCAAGAATATATTACATTTAAAAACAAACTGAGGCAAAATCTTAACATTTTCATATATATATATAGCCTAGCATCCAATTGCTGCTCTGATTGCCAAGATTCATCACCGTAATTCATTCTTGCCAGTGTTTTCCTCAGCAAGTACAAGCACTACCCTCAACCAGATAAGAGGGCCTCATTCTGGATGAAAATTTACTTCATAATCAAATTCACATGCATGGATTTTTAAAAAGTCACATACAATCATAAGCTGCTTTGGTAATTGCCTTTGCTGCATTCTTCTGAATATCAGGAACAGTAGAGACTCCTACAAATGAAAGTAGCTTTTTAAGGCCTCCTGTCTGCTGAATCAGTTGCAGAGTATCCACATCTTCCAGACAATTTCCCAACACGGCAAGAGCTTCCACATGTAGATCGCTGAACTCCTAATAAGGAAAAAACCCCAAAAAAATAACCTTCAAATCAGGATTAAAATATCTGTGGCTTTTAACTTTGTAGGATAATTGTCATGACTTTCTTTTGGGCAGTTTATACTGCAAAGTACATCTTTTCATATTCATATTTTTTGTATAATTTCTTTGATGTGCCTTAGGATACAACACAATTTATCAAAACCAGTAAAAACCCCAAAAATCTCTCATTTATATCAAAATGTGTTAGGCAGGTATTCAGAAAGGACCTGTCATCTTAAAATTTCAAAAAATTCACAAATTTCTCTATGCATTATATTTCCCATGGTGACATCTGAACTCAAAAGCACTAAAATGAGTCTCATAATAACATAAACTATGAAATTTCCAAGGTAGGAAATTATATTTAAGGCTATTGATATCAAAGTAAATTCAGAAAAAAAGATCAGTGTTTGAACTAGGAACCAGCACCGGAGTTCAGCATATAATAAAAAATTTTGGGAAAACATCATATAAAAAGCTATATGGTGAATTTTTCTGATATTTACAACAGTTTGAGAAATGGACAGTAGATGCAAAACAGTATTACTAATAGCAATAAAGCAATAGAACAAATATAAATATTTTGGTGAATCCCTTTGTTCCCTTTCTTAGTAAGCTAGGTATCCTAGCTTATCCTATTTCTATCATAGTTAGCTCCAAGTAAGGAGCTCTTTCTTCTTTTATCACTCTTCCGTAACATGAATAATATTTCTCATTAGTCATACAAATATTAGCAGCAAGAAGAAAAAACTTTTAAGGCAAGTAAACTGTACATTGGTTTCCAGTATCTTCAGAAGACAATCTAATCCTTTATTTTCTCCCAGTATTATCCTGGTTTCTCTGTCTTTGCTAATTACTTCTAAGGTTTTAAGGGCTAACAACTGAATAACTGGGTATTCAGATTTCAGTAGTTCCAGCAAGGGTGGAATTACATTCAGCGCACGAACTGCAGCACGGCTTTGAAAATCCTGCAGTAAAATATTCAACAAAGAATGTTAGTGATAGAGAATATAATGGTACATCAGTTCCTGACTTTACAGAAAGAACATCAAAAATCTGATTTCAAACATACAAAAAAGAGTCAATATTCCAGAACTTCCAGTTCTGAAGATTTCTTTCTTTTCAGCTAAGAATCAAACTGAGTATAATCAAGCCCCAGCAACCTTAAATTCTAATTTTTTTTTTTTGCAGGACTGAAGTACGCACTACAGAATCTAGTCCTGTCTAAGGAAGACTATTTACTCTTGGTTTTGCCCTGTCTGTCTGAACATACGTGTTTTTTTGAGAAAGTTTTTAAAATTTAGTTTCATCATTTTTATTTACCTCGGGGGAGGGAAGAGGAAATAGTTTTCACACTTTACTGTGGTTGCCTGGTTATATCTTCCTTTGTTTTAGTAATTACAAAATGACAATTTAAAATTTCAACTTTAAACAGTGTATATGCAGCTTAATAAAAAGACAGTAGTAGATTATATTAAAATAGAAAAAGAATAAATAAATTACAATTTGCTTTTAAATAGCTTATTGCACATGTGCAGCATGCAATTATCCTTATCAATATAAGCAAGCACCAGGTGCAGTTATCCTGATATACCCTGCAACAAAGACAGCGAGATAGTAAAAAAGGAGAAAGAGTAAAATGCGATTCTGAATAGACATGCTCTGATGCCCCAAAAGAGATAGAGTTATAAACTGAATTCATTATTGAATTGATTCGCTTAAGCCATGGAAGAGAACTGCCATACAAATGCACCATTCTTTTGCTAAGCAGCATATGGATGACATTAGTGCTGAGTGTGAAAGTAGCCAATAACAAATCTATTCCTCCCAGTATGGAAAGTAGCTGTTGACAGCATTCACCTATCATTAAAAAGATGTTCAAAATTGTGACTATGAGCTTGCTGGCCAAAACAAGGCACAATGCAATTGCTAGTTCTTTAATTGACAGGATTATTCCAATCTTTTGGATAGACAGGTTATAACTCGCATTACCAAGATTAATATTTTCCAACTAAGAAAACAAATTCATATTTAATTAAAAAAATCTGAATCTGATCTCACTTACATTGCTGTACAGCATGGATAACTGCATTAAGTTCAACAGAATTAGAGTCAAATCATCTACATTTGTAACTAATGTAACAATCAAGGACTTTGGTGTAAAGTTTTCAAATACACTGATGGACACTGGAGAGTAAAGGAACCAAATATTTTAAAATTGTTAACCTCACAGAGGATGGCGCGGGTGGTGGAGAGAGTGCTTATCTGCCTCTGTAACTTAAAACAACAACAACAAACTTTACCTGCACCAGGAGGTAGATACATTCAACTGAATTCTTCTTAACATCAGGATCAGGGCTACCTAGCAGTCTGATAAGTGGTTCTAATCCACCTTGCTCAAATATTCGTACTTTAGTAGTATATTCAGCAGCCATATGTGCTAGACACAGAGTAGCAAATTCATGGATAACTACATCTTCTATGGGGAAAAAAAAGAAGTATTTTGATCAAGTTTTATTCAGCACAGTAGATGTTCACTAATCCAGTGGTTTAAAATATTATTTGAAGTCAATAAACAATAGCTGTTAATCATACCTGACATCTCCATAAACATGTTGCTCCATCTGTACAACATAAAACACTACTCAGTAACAGAGCTACTCCTATAAAAGCAATTACCTATTTAACATGTAGTATGACAAATCATAAGTTACAAGGAAGATTTCATTAAACTGTCCGATCAAATGGCAATCATAAATTATTTCTGAGTGTATTTTTGCACAAGGAATGAATACTGCAAGCTACCTTCTGGCGCCAGCTGTGATATAAGTGAATTTGTGACATCCAGTCCTCTCAGTAACTTCTTGACATCATCTACAATGAAATAAATATAAATATGAAGTCTTTCGTTTGGCAATCTTGGCTGAGTAAAGAAACATGCTGCTCCAAGGGAAATGTACTTACAGTTACTCCTTGAGTGACAAAAAGATCTGACTGAGAAGGACACACAACTGAAGTTATATCAAGATCATAATGGGCCCAGAAAACATACAGGAGATTTTCAAGTACCAGACAACATTCTTTGACATTTGATATATATGAAGTTCCTCAATAATTCATTGAAACTTTATTCAAAATACTTGCATCTAGCAGGTTCTGATTAAATATTTCAGTTTTAGTTGTCAAAGAAGTCATACCCTTACAGTTAAAATTATTTGTGGTTAAAATTATCAAACTAAAAGCAATCCTTCCGTTACTTAATTTTCAAGCCATCACTTTCTAATTTTATGCTAACACAGCCCACACTGAAAATTGGAAACATGAATTATACAGGTCTTATTAAAATCACAGTAAAGACTTTCAGAATGCATTTTTATTGTTGTCAGTGGCAAACTAGCAAAACCACAACCACTAGATAGAATAACCAAAAACCATTCTTTGGGACAGACTTCATGTGATCTTAGAGGGCTGTGTTGTTACTATCAACACTTACAGTATTGAAATGTAAGAAATAAGGTATGAGCTGAATATACTTTTAAAGAAAAAAACAATTCAGATGTGAATATAAATAGAAGATCTTCAGTCATCTGAATCCACGTTTGTGCAGCAGCGTTGGAAGGCAAGGAAGGTCTGGAGGGAATGACTATATGCTAATGCCAAGTTGAAATAAGGTAAAGAGCATAACATCCAATGCAACATGAAAAACAGGTAGCAGTTGACGAAGAGACTTAAATAGCGGTTAGGATATCACCATGGACAACAACTGGGTAGAACATGTACCAAAGTAAGACCTGATTAATTATACTAATTAGATGGTAAGTTTATAAAGCAATGTAAAAATAACAGCCACTGAAACTCAACCTTATGTCTACATACCACGCACTGCAGCTTGATCATTTGGCACTCAGCCACCCAGCATGGACGTAACACATACATTCTCACCTTGTAAAAAGGTATATGAAAATCTGCATATACTGTGGTTAAATCATTTAATAATGGTACAGCTACAGTAGATACACTACCTTGCCATGAATGCAATGTCTCTGAGAGATACTCAAGACCGCTTGAATTTCACTAGCTCAGATAGAGATAACAAAATATTTACAGCAGCACTGACCTGCCTACTTTAACCTTCTCTTCCAACTATTGTAAAAGAGAAGAGTGTCATGTCCACACTGGTGGGCATCTTATGTAGTCAGGCTTTCCCTGATAGACATAATTCCAGTATTAAACTGTTTCAATTTGGCCCCCTCAAAACAAAAATAAGGGTTGGAGGAAAATTAACTTCTCTTGTAATTTTTTTTCAGAATCAGTGGAGTTCACTCCAGCTGAATTTGTTCCTTTATGCTGGGTTGCTAATACAGGATATTTTCACATGGGCCACCTATTGATTTGATGAGCACACTCATAGACATTGAAAAATATTAAACAATGGAGACTCTTACGATTAGAAGCCATGATGCCAAATACCATGATGGCATTTCTGCGTACAATTGGATCTTCATGTGAGATGAGTTTATACAGAAGTTCCACTGCTCCAAGACCAAGAAGTGTCACCTTGTTTTCATCACCTGAAGAGTAATTAGGTTAAAAGTTCTGTAAAAATGCATCAAGCTCACAGTTCTAATGTAACAAAGTAAACCAGCTACCAGTCTTTTACTGGACTGTAGAATGAAAGAACAAAGGCCTGGACAGGACCTTGGGAGATCATCTAACCTATACCCCAAATAAACATATGTCAAATAGTATCAAGGATTAATAGCATCTAGGATTAATTCACATTTGTAAAGCAAAGGATGCTTCTGTCTATTGGACACCCAACTCAATCGCTGGAGACTGCAGTGGTAGTACAAAGGACAGCTTTCTATTTAGCGAATTACAGCTGAATGGTATCATTAAGAACCTCATTTTATTTTCCTTTTTTCTTGCCTCCCAATTTTATTTTCCTCAAAATAACAGTTAATTCATTTTGTGGATCTGCACTATCCCTCAACTGAAGCAACTACCTGGATTTGGATCATTAAATCCAGACTGAGATTTCTACCACCTGAGAATGGAGCACTCTGTAGCTGAATAGGCTCTGGCCATGCAAAGAACAGAAGTGTTTTGTATGATTACAGCCTTCTGTTCCTGCTCACTCAAAAACCCGAGAAACAAAATCCAAAACCTACTCCTATTCTCAGTTCCCGCAACAGCTTTGTAATTCATTTTCTAATGAACCACGCCTGTCCTTTCTGGCTGCAAGTGAGAAATGTGCGAAGAAAGTGGAGAACTATGCTCATTCTCATGCGAAAACACAATTAAAATACAAGAACTATGTTTTATTAAGGGATGGGACTTAATTTAGTAGCAACATTCAAGAAATAAATTAACTACAAAGCGAAAACAACTCCTTCTCTTGTGCCACACTGCAAAGTTACAGTCTAGTCTTCTGGAGGATTGCAGGAATGTCTACATTAGCAGTTTAAAGGATTATTCATTTAGTAGAAACAAAAAATTAAATATCTTGTCCTCTTGCAGTGTGCCGTATGTTACTGTGGACAGCAGGGAAGGAGCCACCAAGAGTTTATGGTGTGCGGTTCATAGCTGTCTCCCAACAGTCCAAATTCTCTCTTCACATATTCAAAATTTGGTTGCATGCCCCCAGCCAAGCTTGCCATATTAAGCTGAACATACACATCTTTCAGAACTCAGTGATCCCATGCCAGCTTTCAAAGCCTTCAGTTCTTTTCTCACAATTTCAACAGTGTTGATAATTACCATCAGTACAACAATCAGCATATAAAAACATAATTTTTAAAGACAACATAAATTAAATGGAAATTAATATTGAAACAGATTAATTATACCAAGAATGCTACCAGTGTATACCAATCTGAGTGGCTGGCATGGGATGAGTGGGAGACAACTAAGGAAATTATGTGCTACGTAATCTTGAGCCTTTGTTATACAGTTGTCTTCTGGGTACCCAGAACATGATGCTTAGCTATAGATAATACATGGACCTTTGGAAGATTTGGAATCTTGGAGACTTGTTAGATTCTCAACACATACAGAAATAAGCTTGATAATGGATGCTGAGCAGTCTCCAATAAATCATCTGTCACAGAAGTACTGACACAAGAGATATATGCAAAAATAACAGAAACAGGCTAAAAAGTAATTTTCATTGAAAACCGAACCTTAAAATAACTACACTAGTACAGAAGTTTCAAACTGTAACAGAAAAAAGAGAATTCTTTCCAATATGCAGGTCTGTTGCTCATAAAACAGATCTAGGTTATATCTAAACAAAGCTCTATTAAACAGAGAATATAAAATTCTACAACAAAATGATAAAAATTTCCTTCACACAAACCACAAGACCTCTTTATAACTGCAAATACAGGTTTGACAGATATTTCAGAACACCCTCAAAACCTTGACAGAGACCTTTGAGATGAAATGAAGATTTCAGGGCTAGGAAACTAAAAAATTATGAACTACAATCAAAAGCTAAGCAATGCAAAGGAAAGCTCATTGCAAAAAGACTAACCTTTTGATGCAAATTTATATAGAGCATCACATGCTTTGGCCAAAACTTCCTCTTCAGGAGAACCAAGCATTAGCACAACTGTTGCTGCTGTTTTGCTTTCAATCAATAAAGGATCAAACTACAAACAAAAAAAAGGAAAGAATAGTTTGATTTATAGTGAGTCTTCCCATCTGCTGCAGTAGACTCAAGGATTTCATTTAAAAAAAAAAAAAAAAAATCAAAATCTGGTTTGAGATCTACACTGAGCTAGAAATATTAACATGAGTTGCTATTTACTTGGAGACATTCAATTTTTTAATAACAATTTGAGACATTGAAAAATATGAAAGGATAATTGACTTCCAAATATAATCATGATTTCATCCCATATGAAGACTTTGGGAAAACCTCAACGCTTCTCTGCGCATCTAGGAAGTCTTGAAGGCAACAGACTATGTCATTCTGTTACAAATGTAAGAGCATCCTGTGGCTTTGGAACCAAACATGGGAAGAAGTTTCTTTTGAGCAGATGTGCACAGAGCCTATGAACTTAGGTGTTGTATGAAGAAGAGGATTTGCTTACCCTGTGGTGTTAACACTTCGTGGTTGCTTTAAAAAAATAAAAGGAGCCTTCCTGTGCCTGCCTCAATTCAGTTCACTAGCTTACCATGATCTTGTACTAGCTGAAGTATTTCCATGATATAATCCCTGCTCAGCCAGCTAGAAATGATACAAAGTGTTCATTTCCATTTCTGACCTCTCATACAGAAAGAAATCTTCCAACAAATCTGGCAGTTTTCACCCTCTTATAATAGACTCTTTGGGACTAACATCACTTGAGAAAGGGAGTCTTCTAAAAAAGCCTTTTGCTTTTTAACAAGACTCAAGGATTTCGGAAAATTCTACCCATTAAAAAGTTTTAAGCTTATTTGGATTTAAAATAAATTTTTAATATAGAAAAACTGTCTTCTGCCCTCACACTTGAGGCTTATATAATATCCGTGTTACATACAGAAACTACTAGATACCGGAGTCTTGCAGTCTCTCAATATCAATGTATTTATCTTTAAAATACAGCAGATTAATCATTTAAGATAGCAATAGCAATACAAATTATTTACAAACATTACAATGTGTATTTATTTATACCTTATATATTTTAAAACGTATATTATTTGTTTTCCTTCATTTAAAAACAGCTGCATCAGAGGCACGTGTTGCTGAACAATAAGGGCATGAAGATACATACAAGTCAGTTGTCAAGCAAGGAAATTACTTGGAGAAATCTTCAAAAATGTTATGAGTGTGTTAGAAGGAAAATGAACAGAGAGAAGGCTTTTTTCCTTCTCCCTCCTCTGACTTGTTAAAAAATAAGGCAAAATATGATACTAGTACCCAGACTTCTAAGTTCATATTTTTGGTAGGTTTTTAAATCTAAGTAATTTCATTATCTTCCATGAGGCATATCACACAATTTAACAGTTTGCAAGATCAAGACCCAAGTTTCACTAACAGTTAAGAGGTTGCCTGGCTAATGTGTTTAACTGGTCTCCCCAGCTTCAAGCAGGTCTGAAAACCTCAAGATACTGTCCAACTTTATGCTTGCTGTGACAAGCTGGAGGCATCCGACAAAAGTCATGGAACAACGCACCTTTTTAAATAAAATATAATCAGCTTACTGTACTATAAGCCATTTTAGAATCATAGAATCATAGAATCATCTAGGTTGGAAA